ATCAGTAGAGGCTTCATAGACATAGTCGTTGGGTTAAGGTTCCGATGTTTTAATAATAACTTAGCAGTAATTCAGTAGTTACTACGAATAAAGTTCTGGAGTTGATTTATTTAAATAATTAAATTAATCAAAAGTATTTGGTTAGAGTATTGCCTTGTTGCATATAAAGTTTGGAATTATAATAGATTTGATAAGTAGAGATGGTTCGCTCGGTCATGTTTAGTGATCGAGTGCCGGTCTCGGCTTATTCAGAAAATGGGTCATGACAATTTTGAACGTATATTTTAGTGAAATAGTATTCACATTCAGAAAGACATTAGGATAACATTGCTTTTTTCTATGTTACTACTTTATTAATTGGTCCGCTAGTAGCATGTTTAGGCCGACCATACTTGGGTAGGCAAACCTTTAGGGAGTTTGTGTTTAGTGTGTATATTAGGCACGTATTAATAAATAAATTATCGTGATTATGTACACGTTCACGTGACATAATTGTGATTTCCAAAATAATTCGAGGTACGCATTCGCGCGACTTTGGCCAAATAATCTTGATAATGAATAAAGCGTGATTAATTGTGTACACGTACGCATGACATGATTCTTGACGCGCCAAATGAAATGAGTACACGTATGCGTGACTCATTTTAAGATAATTCCATAATTACGAATAATCCAGTAATTAAAAGCGGTAAAAGGGTAAATGTACATAGGTTCTAAAATGAGTAATTAAACAATTGTGACGACCCGTCAGGTCGTCTTAAGAATTAACGCTCTGATCCCCTATTAACTACTTTTCCCAAGTTTATTTCTGCTATTTTGATTTGTCGGGATGTTCGACTTTGAGTTTCGGGGAGTTTTGGGACACTTAGTCCCTAAATGAGAGCTTAAGTCTTGGAAAGTTGACCGTGGTCAGAACAGTGTGAAGATGGCCTCGGAATGGAAATTTGATGGTTCCGTTAGCTTTGTTAGGTGATTTTGGGGTTAGGGGCGTGTTCGGATTGTGTTTTGGAGATCCGTAGCTAAATTAGGCTTGAAATGCCGAAAGTTGAATTTTTGAAGTTCCGATCCGATACTGAGATTTTGATTCGAGGGTCGGAATGAAATTATGGAAGTTGGAGTAGTTCTGTAGTGTTGAATGTGATGTGTGTGCAAAATTTTAGGTCATTCGGATGAGATTTGATGGACTTTTTGATCGAAACCGTATTTTGAGAATCTTGGAGTTCTTAGGCTTAAATCCATGGTTAATTCGAGGTTTCGATGTTGTTTTAGGTGTTTTAAGGATTGGTACAAGTTTGGATAGTAGTTTGTGACTTGTTGGTGCTTTTGGTTGAGGTCCCGGAGGCCTCGGGATGATTTCGAATGGTTGACGGAAAGATTTTGAAATTTAAGTTGCAGCTTTAGCTGCTGGTTCTGTCATAACCGCACTTGCGGTTTGGGTTCCGCAGGTGCGGCACCGCAGAAGCGGCTTAGTAGCCGCAGAAACAGAAATTGGGAACTCCTTCAGGAACCGCGAAGCGGTGGTAATTCCGCAGAAGCGGTACCGCATTTATGGATTGGGAGTCGCAGATGCGAAAATTGGCCATTAAGTGAAAAGTCGCAGATGCGACATTAGTTCCGTAAAAGCGGGACCGCAGATGCGGTCCCAGGGCCGCAAATGCGGAAATCGCTGGGCACAACATATAAATTCTTGCCTTCGCGAAATTTATCCATTTTTCATCTTTTTCAAAATGGGAAGAAGCTTGGGGAGCACATTTCAAGTGGGATTCTCAGAGGAGTTCATTGGGGTAAGGTCTTTGGTCCCTAAACTCGTTATTGGAATGATTTCTATCAATTTAAGCATGAAAAATTAAGGAAAATCAGTGGTAATTGGGGGGTTAAGGCTTGTATAATTGGAGGCCTTTGAGTGATGATTTAAGGGACAAATTGAGGTCCAATTTTGGTACTTTTGATATGACTGAACCCGTGAGAGTGCGAGGATTCTGGAAATATAAATGTTACCCGATTCTGAGACGTGGGCCCGAGGGGCGTTTTGGTTATTTTATATAATTTCGCGTATTAGCTTAGAATTTAATTGTAAAATCAGTTACTTGAAGTGTTATTTACATTATGAAATGGAATTGAATAGATTTGGGCCATTTGGAGTCGAGTACTCGTGGCAAGAGCGTGGTTTCAGATTGATTTTGAGCTGGTTCGAGGTAAGTGGCTTGTCTAACCTTGTGTGGGAGACCTTCTTCTTAGGATATGATATAGTTGATAATTGAAAAGCCTTGTACGTGAGGTGATGAGTGCATACTTAAGCTAATTGTTGAAATCCAATTTTACTTTAAGTATTTCAATTGAGTTCCTTTTTCCTATTTTATTCTACTTGCGAATTTAGCCTGTTATAGTTTAGAAAAGCATGTTTAGTTGACTTAATTTTCTATTTGCTTAAATTGCTTTAATTGTATTACGTGAAGCATGTTAGGCTAGAATTAACTGTTTACTTGGTACGAAATTAGCATTTAAATGAGTATTCTTGTGTTGCTTCTGTGTGTATTTAATTTGGGACTACTGGACGGCATCCTGGGAGATCCCATGTACGTATTTATGATCTGGACTGAGGTGCGTGATACCAAGAGATCTCTGGCACGTATATTGAGGATACCAAGAGATCCTCGGAATACCAAGAGATCCCTAGCATATATTGAGGATACCAAGAGATCCTCGAGATACCAAGAGATCCCTAGCATATATATTGAGGATACCAAGAGATCCTCGGGATACTAAGAGATCCCTTGTACACATAGAGGATACCAAGAGATCCTCGGGAAACCAAGAGATCCCCCGGTTAACATCCTTGCTATGAGTGGTATTTTCCTTGTGGTTTGCCCTTATCTCTATTTTCCGTTATTGTACTCTTATTATGTCGTATAGATTCTTACCGTAGATTCTCAATTGTACTACTTATCTTATCCTGTCATATTTATATTTATTTAATCTCAGTAGGGCCCTGACCTTCCTCATCACTACCCAACCGAGGTTAGGCTTGGCACTTACTGAGTACTGCTGTGGTGTGCTCATGCCCCTTCTGCGCATGTTTTTCATGTGCAGATCCAGGTACCGCTACTCAGGCCTACCATCCTTAAGGGAGGCGACTGCTTTAGAGACTTCGAGGTACATCTGCCACGTCCGCAGACCGAGAAGTCCATTTTTATTCCTGCTTTTAGTATTTAGTCCTTCTGTATTTTTCTGTTCTTATTAGACATTCCGGAGTTAGAGCTATGTAATGGGTTTCCGGGTTTTGGATTTATGTATTGGTATTGAGAGTTAAACATGATGTATGCCGAGCGGCACATTTAAAACACTGTTATTATTTTATTTCTATTTAAATTGTTTTACTTCCGCATTTTTGGTTTTCCTTCCGCAATTTAGGCATACCTAGTCGTAGATACTAGGTGCCGTCACGATGGTTCACGGAGGGTGAACCGGGGTCGTGACAACAATTCAAATAAGTCAGGTATGATTAAAGCGACCGTGCTAAAACTACGGATTCCGGGAACACCTAATACCTTCTTACGGGTTAATAGAATTCCTTACCCAGTCTTCTGTGTTCGTAGACCATAAATAAGAGTCAAACTTCCTCGATTTGAGATTTTAAATCGGTGACTTGGGACACCATAAATTATCCCAAGTGGCGACTCTGAACTTGAATAAATAATCTCATTTCGATTGTCACTTAAATTGGAAAAAATCCCTTACACTTTTTCGGGGTAGAAAAAGGATGTGTGACAGCGGGTGTTGATTATTCGTTGGCAGATCCAGCGGAGTTAGCAGGGTAGTTGTCTGGCGATCGCAGCCCTACTTTACTCTCTCTTTATCTTCCCTTAGTTGTATTCAGTTATTTCCAGGCATTGTTAGTCTGGATATTGTCAGACGGTTATAGTAGATGCTCATGACTAGTGACACCCCAATGTCGAGCTTTCTTTTCCGCACTTTTGTTTTTGATCTACACTCCTTATGGAGTTTCTATATTAAATAGCTTTGGAAATTATCTTGAAAATGAAAATATCGTTTTGTTTTGCTAATGTGTCCGCTTGCCTAGTACCACGATAGGCGCCATCACGACAGGGTTAGTTTTGGGTCGTGACAAATACTCACTAATATTAAAAGCATGGAGGACCTTAGTGAAAAATCGTTTGTCTTTTTTATCTTTTAAAAATAAATTGTATACATTGAACAAATTAGTCATTTAATTATTTTCCTAATTAACAAAATTTTTGACTATCAACCTTTTTCTTATTTGAATTATGTAAGAACTCGTTTAGTTTTTATTTATTTCATATATTTCGTGCTCAATTAAATCTCATCGTCATCAAGTTATGATGTTGAGGAAATTTAACAATTTTTAAAAAAAATTGTATAAATTTTTAATTCTGTTAGGATGATCAATAAATTGACAAGCTTCTTAGGGATTTTAAAAGACTATATCTTTCTTCTAGGAGTCAACCTCAGACTCTTCCTCTGCTTTGACAATAATTCATTAATAATTCCTCCGATGAAACCAGAAGGTTAATAACAGACTTCTTTTTCAAGAATTTCAGGAATGTCTACACAAAAACATTTAAAAATAGAAACAAGTCCTAAACTTTCATGAGAATACTTGAATACTCCTCCAGTCTATAATATTTGTATTTTAAGATTTTTTGACACGTTAAAAAAAATACATCTATATCTTTAATCATAGGAGTATTTTTCTAAACTATCATTTATCTCATCTTAAACATCTCACTTAATTAACAATCAACTAATGAAACATTAAGGATATTTTTTGGAAAAAATAAGAAGAAACGTCAATATGTTGTACCATGCAGTAAATATGAAGAAACAAGTGCCAATGATGGGAGTAGAAAATTTTAATTTTTGAAACACTTATCACAAAGTATAGAGTAGTTCTATAGATAGTGATACAATATCTTTAATCTATAGTTTTGCATCATATTCGTTGACCGTAGTAATGAATTCTAATAAAATTTATCAAGGTGATCTCTACGTTCATACTTTCGTGCCCAAACATGTTTACCATTTACCCTAAACTTAGCAATGTAACCTCTGCTCAAAATCCGATCAATGATTGAAACATCACGCACTACCATTCGAGCATACAAAGAATGATCTGATGAAGAAGCCGATGGCACCATATGAACGTGCTCGACGCAATCAATCCCATAGTAAGAATTAAAGAGTTCCCTCACTTCTGCTTCAGTAACAGGAAATCCCCTTGAAAATGTTAAAAACATAGTCCTATCGTCAACTGGTGCATCAATCTTTACGGACCAACCCCATAATCCTCTGCTTTGAATAATTGAATCTAGCGATCTTGGCACCACTGTTATTGCACCAAATGTTGGATGAGGAAATCCAGGGATAGGAATGATATGTTGTCCAGGCAAGATATGTTGCAAGATGTCAGCAAATATTATAGCACAGACCTTGTTCAAGAATGTCTTGATTCCACTTATCATAGTAAACCTCTGTTGGTAAAATGTTGTGAATGAAACTGTTCTCTTCAATATTATAGCAGTAAAAGGCATGTCCCCTGCATCATTAGGCCCCAGGGGTACCTTCGATTCGAGCCATTTTAAACATGTAGCACCTTCTTCAGCCAAATTATTAGCAATTTCATCAGGTAACTTCACCATTTTCTCTATTATGCTTGGATAATGTACATCTTCTAACCATAGCCACATAGCCATGATCAAAAGGGACTCTCCTGGATCGCGAGACAGGCACACGACAAGCCGAGTGAAGACTTCTCTATCAATTTTGTGGAACAAATGAAGGTCGTCAAGTGTAATCTCTGATGACATTGTTGAAAAAAGCAGGAAAATATAAAATCTTGTCTCTATATTCCTAGGTGGATACAAGATCCTTATATATGACATTGGTATTCAATGAGTTCCTATCTACAGACCTTTCAGTTCCATCTGTAGAGCCAAAAAGAATTTCAAGAATCCAAGCCTTGGAAGAATAAAATTTTCTTTCCCACAATCATGTATTTCTTGAGGATCATTAAAGAGATTAGTTTACCACGTACAAGCACAAGGATAAAGCAGTTTAGATTAACTAGATCTAGTCTAAATTTATTAATGATCACACTGAACTTATAATACGAAGAATGTCATTGACCAAAAAACTGTTGGGGTTTAGCATCCTATCATTTAGTTTTTGCGGACATAATTAATTGAAGTAATGGTTTGGGAAAGACTGAGGATGGAGTTCAAACGAAATATCACATCCTTGACAAAGTGATCTGCCAAAGTCCCGAGGTTATTTATATTAGTAGTGTATTAAAGGCTTTGGGGATTCGCCCTGGGCGTAATTGTCACGATTCGGAATTTCCAATCTCGAGTCCGTAATGGCGCCTAACATCTACTTGCTTGAATGAACATTGTATTAATATAAATAACATGGTACGAAACTACTCCCAGAAATCCGGAGTCAAAAGTACATGAGTATATAGAATACTACAAACATGATCTGAAGTAAAACATAATACTGTCTGAAACTGAAATAACAACAAAACATGATAGAAGGGGACTTCAGAGACTGCGAATGCCAGCAGCTCTACCTCAAGTCACATGTAGCTGTCAAATCAGAGCAGTCTCCGCTACGCGCCGCTAGAACCAACACCAATATCTACACACAAAGTGCAGAAGTGTAGCATGAGTACAACCGACCCCATGTATTATGTACGTGCCGAGCCTAACCTCAACAAAGTAGTGACGACGCTATGACAAGTCACTCACAATGAACTAGTACGAAATAATAACAATAATAATAATAATAATAATAATAATAATAATAATAATAATAATAATAATAATAATAATAATAATAATAATAATAGAAAACAGGAACAGAAATAAAGAAGTAAACTCATATAACTGGACATGAATGTCAACTACCAGAGGGCCCTAGAATAATAAAATCTCAAACTCGTATCACAATATCAAGAATAAATTCTACAGCCACCACACAACTACAACATATCAAATTCGTTGCGGCGTCCAACCCGATCCAAATTTTAACACAATATCTTTCTCAACGTACAATTCATTTTCAATATCATATCATATGATTTCTTATTCCGTTGCGATGTACAACCCGATCCCCCAATATCAAATTATTTCAGTATCGTTGTAGCAAGCAACCCAATCCCGCAATATCAATTTATCAACATAAATAACCCAACACCACTATTCACAAAATATCAACATAACATCGAATGGAATGAGCGAAACAATATGAAACTATCAGTACAAACGAAGATTGGTCAATACTTCGAAATCCTCAAACCTTGGCAAAGCATTAATAAAAATAGCTAATGGCCCACGTAATTGAAAAAAATATAATGGAGTGCATCAAGTAATATAAGAAAAATAAAATCAAGTAAAACATGTGACAATGAGAATATACAATTAGGACAAGTAGGAACATGTAGTAGGTAGATATTGGGTAAGAAATGAACAAATCAAGCAAATAACAATTGAATAACAATTAACAAGTAAAGCATAGATGTCAAGTAAGAACATCTAACAATTAGAACATATAACACGAGATTACATGGAATAAATGATGACATAGAAATAAATAGCCCAATCCCCCATGTTAAATCCCATGACGGTGCATATACACTCGTCACTTTGCATATGCGTCGTTTCCCCACATAATTCACATAGCAAATAGTTCAACAAGTCCTAATTCCCTCAAGTCAAGGTTAGACACAATACTTACCTCACTCCACAACCAAGTCAATCAACCAACCAACCACGACATTGACTTTTGAATAAGCCTCCAAAACAGCCAAAAACCAATTATCGATTAAACAATTCAAAATAAGCTTTAGAAACTACTCACAAAGAAAAAAAGTTCAATCTTTGACGAAATTGAAAAAATTAACAAAAGTCAACCCCGGGCCCCTTTGGTCAAAATTCGAGATTTGGACCAAAATGCGATTACCCATTTATCCTCGAGCCCGGTAATGTGATTTATTTTAAATACAACCTCAATTTGAGGTCTAAATCTCAATTTTATAAAATTCTCAAATTCTACCCAAATCCTTAATTTCTATCATGGAAATCCTAGACTTGATGTTAAAAACTCATGAAAAGTAATGGGGATTGAAAAAAAAAATGGATTAAAGTTGCTAATCAATGAATTTAGGAAGAAGAAATTCGTGAAAAATCGCCTCTAGAGTGTTTTGAGAAATAGTGTAAAATAAGCCAAGTCCTGTTTTTCTCTCTTTTACCTAGCTACAAGTGTCGCATTTGCGTACTCTGGTTCGAGGGTTTGCAAATTCGACTCCCGCAAATGCAAACAGTTGTTCGCTAAAGCAAACTATCCAACAGTCCCCAGATGTTGCATTTGCAGCATAAAATAGCGCATTTGCGATGAAGCCCAAATCACAAAAGCGAGATAGAGGTCGCATTTGCGAAAACTGTCCAACCTAGCTTCTAGTCGCATTAGCGGCCTATCCATTGCAAAAATGGACCACCCACCTCCCATTTGCGACAGGGATTATAGTCCCCTACCCAAATGTCGCATTTGCGAGTCCGACTTCGCAAAAGTGGGACTGGCAATTGCGAAACCTGCAAACCTGAAACACCATCTAACACACCACCAATCCAAAACCTTCTGAATCACATCTGAAAGCTCCCCTGATCCCCTCGGACTCCAGACCAAATATACACACAAGTCTAAAAAAATCATACGAACTTGCTCACGCGATCAAAACACCAAAATAAAATCTAGAACCACGAATCGTACATCAAAAGGCATGAAATTCAAAAGAAAACTCAAGAACCTCTAGAATCACAACCAAGCATCCGAATCCTATCACACCAACTCGGAATTGCACCAAATTTTGTAAACAAGTTTCAAATATTAAAACGGACTTATTCCAAGTTCCAAAATAAATATCCAACCCCGATAACTATAAAGTCAACATACGGTCAAACCTAGGGAATTTTCAAATATTCAAATTGCTAACTTTCGGTAAAATAAGTCAAATCAACCTAGGGACCTCCGAATTTAATTTCGGACATACGACCACATCCAAAATCACAATACGAACCTACTGGAATCGTCAAAACATAGATCTAGGGTTGTTTACCCAAAATATTTATCACTGTCAACTCTAGCCTCTTTTTTAGTCAAAATTTTTATTTTCTCCTAAATTTCACATAAACGTATTTTGAAAAGCGATACGAACCATGCACATAAACCAAGAAATATTAAATGAAGCTACTGAAGGTCTCAGAATACAAAAGTAAAGGCTAGTACTCAAAATGACCTATCGGGTCGTAACAGTAGCACTTACAAAATGCCTTGAGGCACGCATGTGGGGTTTAGTTTTGTAGTGCATAAGCGCCCAGCAGTGTCTAAGAACATCTAACGCTCAACTCTTAGTATGTGCTCTAAATATTTTATGCAAATCATACATTAAATTTTCTAATTAGCCCTGTGGACTGTCAAAACTTTTAGCACATGCGTGCTAAAAGTTCTACTCATCTATAGACATATGAAAATTGAGAGTAACTAAAATAATGATTCATAGTATTGCATATTTTATGATTGAGAATATCATGAGGTTGAACATCATTTAAATATTTCTTCTGCAAAAAAAAACAAAAAAAAAACTGAAGTTTATATGTGTGTTACTCGTGTTCATGTGAAAACAATTTTGTTATGTGAAAGCAAATTTATATTTATTCATAAAAGATTTTAGGAAGGAAGCAATTTTGTTTTTATTTTGTTACTTGAAAGAATTTAGTACTGATAAAATTTATTGATTACTTATTTTTAGGAAGGTAAAATGTGTAATTTGACCATTGTTTTTACCTGTATAACCATGCTATAAAATATCTATGAGTTTAAAATTTTCTAGAACTATTAATGTATTCTTCATATTTTTAGGTATCGGATGATACTTATGCAGCCAAGTCTACAGCAGAAGAACTCGAGCATGGCATCATGTTCACCGAGTTCCTGGGAAAGAAGTTATATCTAGTTATGAGGCTGAGTCTTGAACTCAAAGTCAAAATAATTAAATTCCTTAAGGCTAACTTTGATTGCTTTGCATGGTCACATTTGGACATGAAAGGTATATTACTCGAGGTTACAACTTATAAACCAAGCCTTGTAACGACCCGGCCGGTCATTTTGTATATTGTATTCGTGTTGCCCGATTTATTGCCTCTTTTATATTCATTTGTGATTATATGACTTTTCCGGTGGTTGGATTGGTTTCGGGAAAGTTTCTAGTGAATTGGGACACTTAGTCCCAAGGTTGGAAGCTTAAGTTGAAAGAGTTAACCAGAGTTTGACTTGTATGCCGACGACTCCGAAATAGAGTTTTGATGGTTTCAATAGCTTTGTATAGTAATTTTGGATAGAGGCATATGTCTGGATATTGATTCGAAGATCTGTAGGTTGATTTGGTGCTTTTTCGTGAAAGTTAGAAAGTTGAAGATTTGGAAGGTTGAGATGTTGATCGAGAGTTAACTTTATCGATATCGGATTCGAATTTTAGTTCGGGGAGTTGTAATAGGTCCGTTATGTCATTTGGGACTTGCATGAAAAATTTAAGGTCATTCGGAGTTGTTTATGCTTGATCAGTGCAAGATTTGAATTTGAAAATGTTCGTTAGCTCTTTAGGCTTGAATTGAGGTGTGATTCGTAGTTTTGATGTTGTTTTAAGTGATTTGAGACCTAGAGTAGGTTCGTATTATATTTTGGGATTGGTTAGTGTGTTTGGACGGGCTCCCGAGGGCCTCGGGCATGTTTCTGATGGGCTACAGACCATTCC